TGAAAAACAAACCCACAGACTGTGAAGAAAGGAGCAGAGATGGGGATGGAGAACTTCCCATGGGGACAGACACCTCTCCCAATCCCAGGAGAGAATGTTTGGCTTTGGGATGGCTGCCATCTCTCCAGAGAGACAGAGCTCATGCTTCTGTTCAGCTAGGAGGACAGGGATTGTTTTGATTTTTAAATGGATTCATCCTAGGGGGATAGGAGAGAAGTGTGGCTTGAATGACAGGGCAGCTGGTTCTGCTAATCTAAAGCAAGAGGGCGTGAGGGACAATCTCAGGTTCCACCCTTGTTATCTGGATACTCTGGGGACAGGAGCACCAGAACTACATAGGGAGAGGGAGCCCTCATGTGAACGTGTATCAGATCCCCATCATTCCCTGAGGTTGCCCTAGGGTGCTTTGTAGCCTACATGCATGGGGTCAGGAAGCGAGGGCTAGTCCTTTCTCCGTCCCCAGCTGTCCCAGTGGGGTGCCTCAAACAATCAAATCACAGAAATGTGTCTTTTAAACATCATTTTCAACTGCATGATTTTTTTCATGTAAGTGTATTTTAAAGGGCTACAGAGGGCAACATAGGCCCTATCCGACATTCAGCGGGTTCCACTGGACCCTGGGGAGTTAATGGGTGATTTCAATTACGTGGGAGGAATGACTGCCTTTCCCTAGCAACGCTTAATGCTCCCACGTTTTCATATTGTAATCTCCTTTGAAAAATGGATTTAGGAATAGTGGGACTAAAAGCTTTGGGCTCCTGGTGCCCCCCTGTGGATTTGACACACAGTTGCACCAGCAAAGGTCAAGATTATAGGGACACCAACAACTGTATTTTCCACTCCATGCATCTGATGAAGTGGGTTCTAGCCCACGAAAGCTTATGCCCAAATAAATTTGTTAGTCTCTAAAGTGCCACAAGGACTCCTCATTGTTTCAACAACTATTAGTGATTAATGAATGTAAAACACTAAGGAACCCATTCTCCCCTTTGCAGGGATAACCCTGTGAGGGGAGAGGGAGCACTGTGAGCTTAATGTTCCAGTCCTTCCATCAGGGTGCGGGTCCCCACGTGTCCTAGAACGTATCCAGGGGCTCAGGCCCCCTGGAAACTGTAGCCCATTCAAGATTCACAAGGATCTCCCCCAAAGCTCATGGACATCTCCCCAGAGGCTTTGCTCTTCAGCAGGAGTGCTTCACTGGGGCCACGCCACGCCACGCCACACCACACACACACACTCTCTCTCTCTCTCTGCACCAAGGTGCCCATTTTGCTATTTTCCACCCCCAGCTTTGTGGGAGAGTAGCCCAGCCATCCCACCAGCTCTGAGACGCCAGATCCCTGCAAAGCCTGCCTGGAGAGGACTCCTCAGAGCTGGACGGGAAGGTGGGCGCATTTCCCACAGGCCGGCACCAGTCTGTCTGAGGCTGACTGAGCGACCCCCCTGCCAATGGCTGGTAGATCCCAGATTGGTGTCTTTTGACAGCCTGAGGCCGGGGTCATGCTACAGGCTTCTGCCGACATAGCTGTGTTGGTCTGGGGTGTGAAGCGGTGTGATTCCCTGCCCGGCATAGTTCCACAAGCAGAGGTCTCTAGAGCAGACGCACTTCTACCGGCATAGCTTGTTTCATTCCTGGGGTGGCGTGTCTGTACCGGAACACAGTGCCGCTTTGCCAGGAGAGCTGTGTCCACACTAGCAGTGCTTTGCCAGCAGGGTAAGCTGGTATTCCTATGCCAGTGAAGTGCTCATTGTGTAGACTTGGCCTGAATGTACCCTGATACCAACACAGCCCCTGACAGAGAATACCCACGGCCACACCCAATAGCCCACTCTACAACTCGGCCACTGGGGCACTGTCTATATGAAGGAAATCCACACTGCAATAATGTAGTGACGCTGGCTCTGCCCCCCATGATGTCTCAGTGCAGCTGGCTTTAGGACAAAATTCAGCAGCACCAATGTAAGCCCCAGTCTGCGCTGGTGCAGCATTAGGGGTTGTTCGGGTGTAAAGGAATTCCTGTAGCTACAATGGTGTGCATATCCTTAATCTATAACCTGTGCGCCACAGGAGGGCTGACTATGTGATCACAGTGGTCCCTTCTGGCCTTGGAATCTCTGAAGCTAGTTGCAGCCTCGATGCTTTTTAAAGAGGGTGGTAATTATGCTAGAAGGGGGGGGGACCAGGATTAGAGGGCAGCCTGACATGAAAGCCCACGGAGGGGTTTGAAATTAAAAGGACATTGTATTTCTCAAGCATTTAAAACAAAGCTGGTTGGTTATAATCTCCTCTTTTAGGTGCTTCGGTGTGTTTGCTCGTAAGTGCTGAGCAGCTGGCTTTGATTTTGGTGGCTCTAAGAGACATTCATAGAATGGCATGGGATTGGCAACTAGAGAGAAGATTAAAAAGGAAGCTCAAATGTTAATGCTAATGCAGCTGTGGCAACGTACCTTCGGGGGAAATGGACTCCCTGTGATCTTGAGTTCTCTGGTTTTCCAGGAAGTCTGAGCAGGGACAATTTTCTTGGCAGTAGGTTGAACTTTCCCTGTATCATTCATTTGATTTAGTTGGGGATTAGGTCCTGCTTTGAGCAGGGGGTTGGACTAGATGACCTCCTGAGGTCCCTTCCAACCCTGATATTCTATGATATCCCAGCAGAAGCTCATGCAGGTTAATTCCCAGCTGCAGGCCAGACCCAGCTAGCCCTATTTCCTTTGTAGGCTCCTGGGGCCCACCTCTCACTGCCTTGCAGGTTGTGCAGTCAGATTCAAAGCAGTGGAAAATCAGGCCCACAGACTTTTTGTCTATGAGCCAGAAATGTCCTTGGAGGAGAGAGGGTGCACAGTTCCTAGGCAGACATGCCCTGATAGCCCATGCCCATGATGGTAAGAAGATCCTCAGGAAGGACTGTTTTCTAAACAAACCTGCCTACACCAGCCAGGGAAGCCACGCTAGCGACAACTCTACATGCACCAGGGCTTAAATTCAACCAGAGGTGTCCAGAGCAGAGCTCTAGTAAATATTTTCAAACCCATGGGGCAGAAGCCCCGAGCCCCAGGAAATAATCTATGAGAATTTAAACCCTGCATTCACCCATTCTAGATATGGTCCAAATGTTGCTTTGTGATGGGACTGCAGATCGAGCCCATGGCCTTGGGCGAGTCACACTCTCTGGGTCAGATCGGGGCCCGCTCTGTGCCCCCACACCGTAGAATATGGGGGGTGGAAGGCACTTCCCTAAATCAATGGGAGGAGCCTGAGGAGATGGGGAAACAGCCATTGCAAAGCTCCTGCTCCCCTTCTCCCGCAGATGAGTGAGGCATGAGAGTGAGCAAAGCCTTGGCTTTGCACACATACCCTCCCCAGCAGGCACTGGGCAGCAGTGGGGCCAGCGTGCCAGCAGCTGTACCTTGCACCAGGTATAGGGCTGGCCCAGTGTATGTCCCCCCTGCCGCCAGAGGAAACAGGGAGTCTGGGTTACAATCCGCTATGCTGCTCCAGGAGCAGCCTGGGAAACACTGCCATGACTGAGCCCTCTCCGTCTGTCCTTCCACCTGCAAAATGGGGATAATTCTACCACCCTACCTCAGAGGGGCCCTACCAGGCTTAGTCCAATGATCCAGTTTGTAAGTCATGGTGAGATCCTCAGGTGGAAGATGCAAGAGAATTGCAAAGTATTAAATTACTGAGACACAATCATTATGATTTTATTTTAAGAGCTCTGCCCTGTAGGGAGTCCCAGGCACCGAGGGGTTAAGGACAAGCAGATCCCATGAGGTAAGTAAGTTTTTTCACTCCAGTTCTCTGTTGCTGCCCTTCTGGTTTTGTTAAGGCTGGTGACAGACCCAAGATTCATCTGACCTTGTCTTTATCTTCTGTCTGTTTGTACAGGCTCTGGAATTCTCTTTGGCTCTATTTCCCAAACAAATGCTCCAATTCTCTTTGTAAATAAATACAAAGAAACCAACTGCCAGCTACCCTGCCATAAAGAGTCAGTGGGAGTGCAGGAGGGAGGGAAGGAGCAAAGATAATGGCAGGAGAACAGCTTTTCATGGTCAGAGAGAGCAAAAACAATATTTGAAAAATACCTCAGCAACGTCCTTCAAAGTTTCTCTCATTGAATGTGGATCTCTCATTGAATGTGGAGGTTCTTCGTGAGCCAGGCCTTCCTTCACACACTAGTAAGTGTTAGTCTTAGAAGATGGCTTGCAAGGAGTGAAATTACATCAGTTCTGTCTGTGCTGAGCGTGGGGACTGATTAGGCTTTGGATATTGTCCACCATCCCCAGCTAGTGAGAGATTATTTATTAGAAGCAGTGCTGTTTTAAGGCTGTTGAACCACACACGCAGAGCAGGTCCTTGAATTGTTCTTCCATATCTACTATGGGGTCTGCAGAGCACTTCACAACCTAAACGTCCTCTGACGAGGACACATCTAAGGTTATGGGCCTTCTGCCAGAAGAAACCCTACAACAATCCCTCTTTTACAGAGTTTGTTGCTTAGATGCCAAGGATCAAATGACAACAGCCTATACTTTATCTGGCCTTCACGGCTGGCTTAGATGCACATTTGTTTATTGAAACTGTATAACGTATTTAAGTGGCTCTGGGTGTACAGTGATAATGCACTAGGTAAAAACCAAACACAAATACAAAAAAACTCTACTACATGCTTAAGACCAAAAGGCAGTAAGTGAAGTCGCATAAGTATTTGGGGTCATTTGTCGGGAGGGGAGAACAAACAGGAAACAGCTGAGATATGAATAAATGTCCTTTATAAGCAATTATTTGGTCACAGTTTTGGAAAATTAATTGTAAGCACAGTATATACTTTATTTTTGCTTTAATATTTTTATGGGGGGAAGATTGTCCATTAACTTCAGTTTGCAACAACAAACAACAAAAGAACCAAGCAAAAATTCCTTAAAAAACAAAAAAAATCCAACCCCTCCCAGCCCAAGAAATAGGAGGAGACAAGCCCCTCCCCGCCCCATAAAGGAGAAATAAATCAACTAGAAAATAGAGACCCCACAACCCCAGCACACACACAAAAGCAATGACTACACACTACTCTTTTTCATCGCCTCATGTCTCTAGAGAGTCTATATCGGCATACGCACACAGAATCATAAAGGTTCCATCAGGATCCTGGCAATTCCCACACACAGGGAATGCCTAAAACTTTGCAACAATTTTGACAGGAGACTTTAATTTTGCAACTACAAATTCTTTTACACAATTCCAGTCTGAATGTGAAGCATTTACTGTAAGCTCTGGGGAGAGGTTCACTCCTGTGGACTCAGTGGCAGACTTTCCACTAAAGAGGCAATGCTCCAAAGGCTTGGGGACAGATTCTTAGCTGGTGTAATCCGCGTAGTTCCTCTGTGGCCATGGCACTCTGTGAATTTACACTGTCTGAGGATCTAGCTTAGTCTCACTCTAAAATGGTCATACATTTTGATTCCCTGAAGCTGCTTGATTGCTTCCCGCCCATTAATGCTTTGATATGTGTCACCATGGTGATTTTATAGGCTTGCTTTCTCCCACTGCCTTATGTGTGATTTCCCACGACAGCGAGAACTCTGCACTTCCTATATTTGTGTCCGTGTGTATGGCGAATGACAGTCATAAAGTACACTGGCTAGTCATCATTGCCATCCATAAAAGTGACAACACTACCTCTCCCCTATTCTCCTGCAATTGCCAGAAGTGTGCCCCACAGCTGCTTCTGGAGCTCATGGGTTTTCCATGAGACAGCAGCAAAGGGATTGACTTTGCGGGACAGCAGGCTGAATACAAGCCACTCAGATTATAAAGCTCTGCCCTCGACTCATGAGCTAATTAGTATCAAGGATTCCCCACAAGACGTTATTTGGGAGAGTTTGTCTTGCATTGCTCGCAGAACAGGGAAGCTGGGTTTTTTTTCCTCCTGGGCGAACAATCTATTGAAGTAAGCACATTTTTGCCATATATATACACACTATACTGGCTGGATTTTCAGAGGTGCTGAGCACTTCAGCTCATGACCAATGGTTGGGTAAAGCTTAAGTCCCAGCGTTCTTATCTACTAGAACAACCTCGGAGCCGAATGACTTAGGGAAATGTTGTCAAAAGTACATTCAGCACCTAGGAGCCAAGGCCAAGCTTTTCAAAAGAAACTGGTGATTTGGGATGTCTCAAGTTTGTGGTGCTCAACTTGAGGCTCCTTAAGAGCCTGTTTTTCAGAGGCGAGTTGCTCAGCACCGTCTGAAAATCAAACCCCTTTAAAGGATCTTATGCTGGACACCCAAAAATCACCACTGAAAATCTTAGCTGGTGTCACTGAGTGGCAAGGCAGCTTAGCCTGCTTAGTGACTAAATCATTTCTTAAGATGGCACTTAGGCACCTAAGTTACCAGGCTTTTATAAAAATGTTACCTTAAGATGCTAGTCTTGGCTGGATCTCTCTTGTAAAGATTTCCCCATGCATTTCAACAGGCATCCTAGATTCTCAAAAATATTTTCTTCTCTGTCCTGCTACCTGTCAAATATTTGCAATCATCAGAAATTGTATTAAAAATATGAAAGCTTGAAAACATTCTGATTATCCACACAACTCAGAAAATGGCAGCATTGAGATTATCTGGATTTACTGTAATTATTCTGGATTTACTCCTAGAAAAGACAGAAAAGCCATTTTGATCTGAATAGCTGATTTATGTTTCCCCTCTCACTTCATGATCATTACTTTAGAGAAGGAAAGGACAGGCTCCAAAGCAAACAGACGAGGCAGCAATCTATAGAGTCCAACGCATTGTATGTGGTTCATAGATCACACGCCATGTACACTGAGGTCTTCGTAGCTGGGCGGTGGTGTAGCGCTGGGCTCACCCTGTGACTCTGTTTCCCTCCTGGATGGCATGGTCCTGAGCAGTACACTGTCTGAGGAGCTGCGTCTGCGGCAACCTGGCCACGTATCATCCTCATCTAAGTCTCCATACTGAGGGGGTGTAGTCTCCTCCTTCCCACCATGAGGTGGTATATAACCGAGGGTACTTTGAGCAGGCCTGCAGTTCAGGGCTTCTTCATAGGTGGGGATAGCATTGGCATCCCAGGCACTGAAACAAAAAGCAAAGCAAACCTGCATCAAGCTAAACCAAATCAAACGCATCAGATTATAAAATAGGATTTATAATGAAGTACATGGACCAGGTAAAAGTAGCTATCGCATTAGCTAGCAGTTGCTCCAAAACTCAAGAGAGGTTTGAATTTGACCAGGTTACGCTTTCTTTAACAGGGGGTGGGGGGAACCTACCACTACCAATTGCATAAGAATAGTCACAATTATTAAACCAGAGGTCCTTAGACTGTGGTCCCAAAGTGAGCCTGCAGGGGACTTGGTGGTGGTGTACAGAGTGCTTGGTGGACACAAAAGTTGCAGAAATGCTCAGCATCTAACAACTTCTACTGTGCCCCTGGTGCTGGTGGCTTCTCCTCCATTCCAGATGCTAAGCATTGTGTTAAAGTGTGGCTACATATTACTTCCTAATGTAAGCAATTGTTATTATCATCACATGGAAGTCAAGGGAGCTGTTTCAAGAGAAATTTTCTTCATGAAAGCGTGGTCCACTTTAATGAAAGACGTTTGAGAAACCCCATCATAAGTGTCTGAAGGCACACAGTGCTGAAGGCAATTTTGGTCCATTGCCACTCTGCACCATGTGGTGGTGTTTATAACAGTGTGTTGAAAAGTGAGAAACTGTTAATACTCTACAGCATCGACAAGTTGTGCGTTTGGGCATCCCAAAATATGGGCCTCTCCTGATCTGACATGATCGTGCAGCTGATTTTCAGGAGACCTGGAGAGATGCAACAGCTTCAAGCTTCCTTCCCACCCTCTCCTTCAAATTGCTCTTTAGCGTTTACTTCTGCTGGGATGTCTAGAGGGATTCAGCCAGCCAGTGATGCCTAGATTCTGTTGCAGTTGGGGCTAGCTGACTTTATTTATGTCTTTAAAAAAATCTTCACGTAGTTTAGAACCAAAGACCCCAGTGACGAACCAAGATCTTTTTGTGCTAACTTGCCAAGGACAGTACAAACATGCTGCTAGGTTGCATTCCTGCCTGATCAGGTATAGTTTGAAACAAGAGGCAAGAAGGGAGTGTGGCAAATGAAAGCAGGGAAAATGGAGGAAAGGGAGGATGAGGGTTCCAAAAGCAGTCATGGGTATGGAAGTTATTGCAGGAGAGACTGGGGCTGTCCAAGTGCCTTTCAGATCCTGTCTGGGGTCTCTGGGTGCTGCCACAAGCCAAATACATATTATATTATTATTATTTATTAGGTATTAATAATGTCCACTGTTAATCATTAACTAATCAGCAGTGCGGAGAACCTGGGAAAAACACAATGTTTGTGCCTTTCAATTTTGTTTTGCTGAGTAAACATAGGCTGTGTACAGGTAAAACATTTGCACAACCTTTGATCTTCTCACTTCCCCTTTCCTTGAAGGGAAGATTATTTTTCAAAGCGGGTGGGAAATGTGTGTAAGGCCATGACCACAAACCTCTCAGTTAAACCTGTAAAAAAAAGGGCCTGGCTTGAGACTTGAGGTTTGTATTGCAGTGTTAGGACATAGTGACACACATATACACACACGCTCCAGAGAAACCCTGTGGGATCTCATGAAAACATCACGCCATGATTCTTCCTTAGTCTGTAGACTATTGTACCTAAGGGAGCCAAAAACTTGGGACTGAATGCCAGAACAAGGTGGGCATGTGTCACCACAGGAGACTTTCATCATTAGAATGGAACACAATGAAGTTTACATGTGAGGTGTTTACCTGAATTATCCACAGACCAGGCAGCACCCAGACAGCCGCTGTGCAAGCTGTCCCACACTGCCCTGCCAACGGGTCTCAGTCCTGCCCTAGCACGAACACTGTTAGAGTTGCCGTCTGTTACAGGAGTGCTCTATAAATGGGAACGTCTGCATATAGGTAAATAGTTAGTAGATAAGGTGGTAGTAGATGATGCTCAAGAATTCTGTTTGTGCAGCCCCAAGCACGATAGGGTCCTGGTCCATGACGAGGGCTCCTAGGCGCTATGATAATATAAATAATAGTAACATCCAGCATTGTTCCTGGGGTTTGTAGGACCAATACATTTCTTCTTGCTGTGCACGGCAAGGGGCTTCTTGTGTGCAGCTCTTTACATGGAGCTCTTCACACCCACACACCAGTCAACAGGCTTCTCAGGCTCTCAGCAGGGCTAATACAGTTGCAAGCCAGAATTTGCCCAATTAGCTTATGGTGAGAAACTGGCCTTTTTAAACAAACAAGTTTTGTAAGTCAACAAGTTGCCCCAGGCCGGCTGTGGGACGTTCAATAGAAGCTGGGTGGGAAAATTCCAAGAACACATTTGTTCACTGGAATTTGCTGATCTGTGGAAAACAAAACATTTCACAGAGACATTCACTTCTGATGAAGGCAGGGTTTTGACTGAAACCTGCCTGGCTCCTGCCTGCTCGCCCACCCAGCTCCTCAGCAGCCCACCTGCCAGACAGGCGCAAAAATGGGGAGCCCAGAGCTCCCCAGGTCTATGTCTCCAGGGCAGCCTATCTGCCAGGTGGCCTTAGAGCAGGGGACCCTAGGTCTTCCAGGGCCTGCAGCTCTGGGGTAGACACCAAGCAGACTGCCCTGGAGTTGGGGATCCGTTCCCTTTGTGGAGAATTTTGGTTTCATTCGGATTTGGAATGAAACCACCAATTTAAAAATATCACAATCCTCCATGAAACAGAATGACCTTTCTCTGCCCTGCTCTGTTCAAAGGTTTCCAAGTGCAAAAGCCAACACAGCTGCTGGGGTGGAAGGAGCTCGTTCACAACGGCAAAGCTTTCTTTGCTGAACTGTGTGTTTGTGGTGAACCCATAGTACTGGGCTAATCACCACCAGGTCATGGGGGTAGTACAGGAGAAGGGCCAAAATTAGTGGGCCAGACCTCAGCTGGTGTGCATCAGTGTAGTTCCACTGAAGCCAAAGGAACTACACTGATTGGAACCAGCTGAGGCTCTGGCCCTGGATTTTAAAAAGCTTCCCAAAAAGCCTCTGGATGATCAGGAGCCTGTACTTTGTGTCCCAAGAGAGAATTTTTACAGTAAGTGCTTATGTTCCTTTTAGACTTATTTTTCCCATAGCCTGATTTATAGAAGACACTTCTTCAAGCTTTTTTTTCCCCTTGGTGATTTATTTTGTTTTCAAAAATATCCCTGAAGTCACTCAGAGACAGAGAGCATGAGTACAGAAGAAAAAATGGTTTTGATTCAGAACTGGGAACAAGTCCCAGAGATTCAAACTGGGTGAAGAGTACCTAGCTAAATGTGCATTTTGGGGTGCTGGGGAGTCTGCCCCAAAGCCCATCAAAATCAGTGGGAATCTTTCCACTGACCTTAATGGACTTTGGATCAGGTCTTTTGTCTAACTGCATTTCCGTTCTACTTAGCAGTTAGTTGTGATGATTTTCTCCTGTGTGTGTGTTGGTTTTTTTTACCCTGTGTCCAATACAACTTGTTTCTATTTAAGATGACTGAGATTAGTTGTATGGACGGCAAGGTCAATGAAAACCGCTGCCACATGCTGTGGTGAGATGCCCACTATTATTCCTAAAACAGCATCTTGAAATATCCTTCTGCATATGGTGCTGCAAGAAAGGTGGCTAAGATCAGCACGTACATGGGCAGAGCCAGCTGGCCTGAAGGACGCTAGGTTTGATTACGTCACGAGCAAGGCCCAGCAATTCCTATTGTATTGAAATCTATCTGCCGCCCCGACCGGGAAAACCGAGAAGTCTGCTGCTTGCCAGGAGCTAGGATTCGCGATGTGACGGAGAGACTGCCGAGACTCATCAAGCCCTCGGATCACTACCCCTTCCTGCTTCTCCACGTGGGCACCAATGATACTGCCAAGAAGGACCTTGAGCAGATCACTGCAGACTACGTGGCTCTGGGAAGAAGGATAAAGGAGTTTGAGGCACAAGTGGTCTTCTCGTCCACCCTCCCCGTGGAAGGAAAAGGCCTGGGTAGAGACCGTCGAATCATGGAAGTCAACGAATGGCTATGCAGGTGGTGTCGGAGAGAAGGCTTTGGATTCTTTGACCCATGGGATTGTGTTCCAAGAAGGAGGAGTGCTAGGCAGAGACGGGCTCCACCTAACGAAGAGAGGGAAGAGCATCTTTGCGAGCAGGCTGGCTAACCTAGTGAGGAGGGCTTTAAACTAGGTTCACCGGGGAAGGAGACCAAAGCCCTGAGGTAAGTGGGGAAGTGGAATACCGGGAGGAAGCACGAGCAGGAGCGTGTGAGAGGGGAGGGCTCCTGCCTCATACTGAGAAAGAGGGGCGATCAGCGGGTTATCTCAAGTGCCTATACACAAATGCACAAAGCCTGGGAAACAAGCAGGGAGAACTGGAAGTCCTGGCAAAGTCAAGGAATTATGATGTGATTGGAATAACAGAGACTTGGTGGGATAACTCACATGACTGGAGTACTGTCATGGATGGATATAAGCTGTTCAGGAAGGACAGGCAGGGCAGAAAAGGTGGGGGAGTTGCACTGTATGTAAGAGAGCAGTATGACTGCTCAGAGCTCCGGTATGAAACTGCAGAAAAACCTGAGAGTCTCTGGATTAAGTTTAGAAGTGTGAGCACCAAGGGTGATGTCGTGGTGGGAGTGTGCTATAGACCACCAGACCAGAGGGATGAGGTGGACGAGGCTTTGTTCCGGCAACTCGCAGAAGCTACTAGATCGAATGCCCTGGTTCTCATGGGAGACTTCAATCACCCTGATATCTGCTGGGAGAGCAATACAGCGGTGCACAGACAATCCAGGAAGTTTTTGGAAAATGTAGGGGACAATTTCCTGGTGCAAGTGCTGGAGGAACCAAGTAGGGGCAGAGCTCTTCTTGACCTGCTGCTCACAAACCGGGAAGAATTAGTAGGGGAAGCAAAAGTGGATGGGAACCTGGGAGGCAGTGACCATGGGATGGTAGAGTTCAGGATCCTGACACAAGGAGGAAAGGAAAGCAGCAGAATACGGACCCTGGACTTCAGAAAAGCAGACTTTGACTCCCTCAGGGAACTGATGGGCAAGATCCCCTGGGAGAATAACATGAGAGGGAAAGGAGTCCAGGAGAACTGGCTTTATTTTAAAGAATCCTTATTGAGGTTACAGGAACAAACAATCCCGATGTGTAGAAAGAATAGTAAATATGGCAGGCGACCAGGTTGGCTTAACAGTGAAATCCTTGCTGATCTTAAACACAAAAGAAGCTTACAAGAAGTGGAAGATTGGACAAATGACCAGGGATGAGTATAAAAATATTGCTCGGGCATGCAGGAGTGAAATCAGGAAGGCCAAATCACATCTGGAGTTGCAGCTAGCAAGAGATGTTAAGAGTAACAAGAAGGGTTTCTTTAGGTATGTTGGCAACAAGAAGAAAGTCAAGGAAAGTGTGGGCCCCTTACTGAATGAGGGATGTACTCAATACTTTTTTTGCCTCTGTCTTCACAAACAAGGTCAGCTCCCAGACTACTGCACTGGGCAGCACAGCATGGGGAGGAGGTGACCAGCCCTCTGTGGAGAAAGAAGTGGTTCGGGACTATTTAGAAAAGCTGGACGTGCACAAGTCCATGGGGCCGGATGCATTGCATCCGAGAGTGCTAAAGGAGTTGGCGGATGTGATTGCAGAGCCATTGGCCATTATCTTTGAAAACTCATGGCGATCCGGGGAAGTCCCGGACGACTGGAAAAAGGCTAATGTAGTGCCCATCTTTAAAAAAGGGAAGAAGGAGGATCCTGGGAACTACAGGCCAGTCAGCCTCACCTCAGTCCCCGGAAAAATCATGGAGCAGGTCCTCAAGGAATCAATTCTGAAGCACTTACAGGAGAGGAAAGTGATCAGGAACAGTCAGCATGGATTCACCAAGGGCAAGTCATGCCTGACTAATCTAATTGCCTTCTATGACGAGATAACTGGTTCTGTGGATGAAGGGAAAGCAGTGGACGTGTTGTTCCTTGACTTTAGCAAAGCTTTTGACACTGTTTCCCACAGTATTCTTGTCAGCAAGTTAAAGAAGTATGGGCTGGATGAATGCACTATAAGGTGGGTAGAAAGTTGGCTAGATTGTCGGGCTCAACGGGTAGTGATCAATGGCTCCATATCTAGTTGGCAGCCAATATCAAGTGGAGTGCCCCAAGGGTCGGTCCTGGGGCCGGTTTTGTTCAATATCTTCATAAATGATCTGGAGGATGGTGTGGATTGCACTAAAGTGGGAGGAGAGGTAGATACGCTGGAGGGTAGGGATAGGATACAGAGGGACCTAGACAAATTAGAGGATTGGGCCAAAAGAAATCTGATGAGGTTCAACAAGGACAAGTGCAGAGTCCTGCACTTAGGACGGAAGAATCCCATGCACCGCTACAGACTAGGGACCGAGCAGCTAGGCAGCAGTTCTGCAGAAAAGGACCTAGGGGTTACAGTGGACGAGAAGCTGGATATGAGTCAACAGTGTGTCCTTGTTGCCAAGAAGGCCAATGACATTTTGGGATGTATAAGTAGGGGCATTGCCAGCAGATCGAGGGACGTGATCGTTCCCCTCTATTCGACATTAGTGAGGCCTCATCTGGAGTACTGTGTCCAGTTTTGGGCCCCACACTACAAGAAGGATGTGGAAAAATTGGAGAGAGTCCAGCGGAGGGCAACAAAAATGATTAGGGGACTGGAACACATGACTTATGAGGAGAGGCTGAGGGAACTGGGATTGTTTAGTCCACAGAAGAGAAGAATGAGAGGGGATTTGATAGCTGCTTTCAACTACCTGAAAGGTGGTTCCAAAGAGGATGGATCTAGACTATTCTCAGTGGTAGCAGATGACAGGACAAGGAGTAATGGTCTCAAGTTGCAGTGGGGGAGGTTTAGGTTGGATATTAGGAAAAACTTTTTCACTAGGAGGGTGGTGAAACACTGGAATGAGTTACCTAGGGAGGTTGTGGAATCTCCTTCCTTAGAAGTTTTTAAGGTCAGGCTTGACAAAACCCTGGCTGGGATGATTTAGTTGGGGATTGGTCCTGCTTTGAGCAGGGGGTTGGACTAGATGACCTTCTGAGGTCCCTTCCAACCCTGATATTCTATGATTCTATGAAGGGCCACATGCTCCTGGTGGTGGTACGTGCCCGGAAATCAACATCTGCTACAGTCAGTGGTATGCTTCCAGCCCTCCCCTAAAGTTTAGGAGGGAAGAGTTGAGGTTAGGCAAAAGGAAAAGGCTCACAACTAAGCAACTGGGCAATGGACCAGACTCCCATGGGATTTGAGGGAGGCTCAGTCGCTGATTCGCACCAGCTGAGAGAGCTGTTCCTAAAGCAAAAGCCCCCAACCCAATGCAGGATGATCAGGTTGAATGTCACAAATCATTTTTTCCCAGCCCTAATATTTATGGCATCCCATAGTTTCTCAAACAGCACTGTTGAGCCACACAACACTTCCAAGCAGTTTGCAGAGCTGTACCTGTCACAATAATGGAGCGCAGGCAAGTGAAACAAGAGGCAGTTGTGCCCTGCCAGAAGGGTTCAATTGCACAGATTCTTGCAGAAGAATCTGTCTCTTGTAGTCTTCAGCTTGTTGGGTCATGACACAAAACCTGAAACCTGTCACAGAGACAATCTGTCTGGTGGTTGTTCCTTTGAGGGTAAAAAGAATCACAACCACATTTCCTGATGACACCAGCTATGAAGCAGCAGCAAACATGAGCCAAATTGCGAAGCAACCTGACAGGAACAAAGCAATTAAGACTACAGAGAATTACAGGAGTATTGATGCTAATGAGCACACAGTCCTACCCCTGTGGAGAGGAAATATACTGCAGACACAAAGTGGTCAATGGGAAATATATCTGAGCAGCAGCATCCATCACAACAAAGTGAGCTTATTTCTACCTTGTCTTGATGCAGTCCTAATATTATCTTTTAAAATAACCAAGGACTAGAGTTACCATAGGGAAAATGTGGAATTGGCATAGAGAGCTGTCTTCTTAAGGTAGTAATCTCCTAGTGGCCCACAGTAGGAAAAGGGTATGTACTAAGGTATTGCCAACCCCAAACATTGTGAGTCGGGCCCCACAAATCATGTGTTTGGCTTAAAAACCATGAGTTTGGAATTCTTTTATTTGCTCTCTGGTTTCTGAGCCTTTAGAGTTCACTCAGGTCACATTTTCAAGCTTGTCTCTGAAGCCATGAAAGCTAGAAACTTACTAAGAAAGAAAGAAAGGCTGAGAGTCTCTTGATTCCAGGAGCTGGGGCTTTCAGAGAAACAGTGAATACTTGTGATTAAAAATCCTGATAGTTGGCTACACTGGAGTAAGTAGTACTTAACTAAACCTCCCATCTCCTTTGTGAGGGAGGTTATGTTTGATCAGTGCTTTGAAAATCTAAAATCCTACATAAATACTCAGCTTTATTATATGGTAGTTTAATCATGTAAGTTACTTATTGTCCGGTCTTGGAAATCCTAAAAATCAATGAAAACTAGGGTTTAAAAGAACTCGTATTTAAAAAACATTGTTTCCCTTTTGAGAGCCGAGTAGCAGAGATTGCACTAACCTGCATGTCCTTTTATCAAGAGGTTCCACGGTGAAGTAGTGTAGGTCTCTAGAGAAGTGGTACTGATAGTGTCGAGACATCCCCCGAGCGTTTGCTTTCACCGACCACAGAAGCCCAAAGAGGAGGAGGATGCCACCGATGCCACAGCAGAAGAAGCTGACAGACCTGAGCAGTGCATTAGAGGAGGAGGAGTTCGGCACCACTTTGGCTTCTCCATGAGGCACAGCCATAGCATCGTTATTAGACGTGGGTCCCACCTCTCCATCGCTCCACCAGGCAAAACAAAGTGTTCCTGTCACCAGCAGGATAGCTCCAGTGATGGTCACTCCATAGCGGAAAGAAGCAGCCATTCTACAGCCAGAGGCCTAGATATCACACAGGTCAAAAGGAGAAGGTGACAGGGCCTAGGTCATGCTGAAATAAAGGAAAGGGACTGAGGTGATAGGGATGCTGTCATGGTTTCCAGAAGGCAGGACCTTCCAGATGGGACAGCTGTCAAGCAAGGACCACTCTGTGGCTTAGAGACTTCAGTGTCCTCTTAAATTGCTTACTATGGGCCAAACTCTCCTCTCACATATGCAGTTCCCACCATTTCAAATGGGAGTTGAACATGTGTCTGAGGAGGGAATTTGGCCCCCTGAACCCAAGAGTAAAGATAGCTATAGCTTTGGGCCTGTGAACCCTTCAGCAACCTTGTAAATATCTTTACAGTCTTTAAAAATAAAAAGTCTAACATTCCTATCCAGGCTAGATGAAAATCCAGAATTGGTGTCTGTCAGCTCCAGAGATTTGCATATTTTTTTGTCTTTGGATTTCACTCCAGACTTCCTCCCAGCTTGGAAAAGTGCCAGATTGTTTTATGGTCAAAGCTCTTTCCAAGATGTTAGGGGAAAGGATATAAACCTAAGCTGCCATACCTTCCAAATCAGATACAATTATTACATGTTTTCTCATCTGAGTGGTGACTGTAAAACACTGGCTCAGGGACAGCAGGTATCCTGACCGAAGCACAGCTAGGGATATATCAGGCTACGCTGCACTCTTGCTCTCTGAGTTAGTTCTCCAGCTGAAAGTTAGAACACTAAGACTCGTGTATATCTACATGCATTTACCCCACTGCAATTAATTTCATTATTGTGGGTAGCTTCAATAGAATAAACTCTAAGATGCTGGCAAACCAGGAAGACATCCAAAGCAATAAATAAGCTGCCTGAGCTCGCATCCAGGAGGCTGGGTGGATCCAAGCTTGGGTGGCTAGCGCAAGCCACCACCGGTGCCACAATGTCAACACTGATATTCTTAGTACGCTAACTCCAGCGGAGCTAACCCAAGTCCGTCTACCTAGGCTGCAGTGCAGATATACCCTTGGTCTACAGCACCTGGCAATCGCAGAGTCCCTATCAAAGACTGAGTTCCAAGCTAGGATTTTAATAGGAGTCAATGAGCAACCACCTTAAAAGTCAGGGATCTGTCTGCCAGGTATAAGCTAAGCACTTTTGGAGGGCAAACAAATCATTGCTTTTCCCATGCACTCCTCAACAAGTTGGACCCCAATTCCGTAGTAAGGTGCCTTGGTTCTAATTCTCTGGCAGTTTCATTTAAATAAGAAAATATACATTTATTTTGAAATTAAATGTAATTTATTTTCTCTCTCCTGCAGTCTCAGTTTGTGATATTGCACATGTATTGATGGTGCATCTCTGCATGGTAAAAGGTATTGGGGTAAGGGGAGAAGTTTAGTAGCTAGATATGGGGTTTTGGGGATGGCTGGCATTTTGGGATTGAGGGATAAGCAAATTAGAAGGATGCTTCCGTTGAAATGCTCAGCAGCATTAACATTTATGCCATCGTTAGGGTTTAGAGTCAAAACACCTTGACATGAACAAGGAAATTCACATCACATAGAGCTATTGTTTTCTGCAGCTGCATGAAGGCATCATGGTCTCAACTAACCTTGACAGTGTGATCTGTGTAAACTTCAAAACCACCAGGGTCAGAAACAATATTATTTAGACTGAAAAGATAGCTTCTGGAGTCCAAAAGCTACGAAATTGTGGGATACAGGAAGCCCTTGCTACCTGAGTTGGAATTTTAATGGCTTTTGGCAACTGGTTCAGATTATGTCTATTTGTTAAATATGGGATTTTTCCCCTCTGTAAAATGCGACATTACCTGTGTGTGTACAGTGCCTGTCACCTGGGGCTCCAAACTTGGTTGGACCTGTACAAGGCACTGTAATACTAAATTAATAATAATAATGTATATGCTTATAGTAAAAAGAATGCGGGGGAAAGAATACAGCTGATATGCTACACAAACTGAATACAGTGGTTCAACAGCTTTCCATGAGCGGTGAGGCTGCCCTTTACTGTATTTTTGCTGCAGTGATATTCATTTAACCTCATTTTTCACGTTACAAATTAGCTTGAAGATCATCTTCAAAACTGAGTAGCCAGATGAATCCATACCACATCTGTAACCCACGAGCTGTAGTTAAGTAAAAAGCAGCAGTAAATGTCCAAAAGTTCAAGATCAGTTCAGCATTGTCAAAACTGCAGCTACTTATTAGACGAGCCAACTAATGGAAACCTGAATTACTTGGTAGTGAAAGAAATGCTATGTGATCTGATCCACATTTAATGAAGAGCGAAGATGAGAAGTAAGATTTATTAAAGTCACCAGAAGCCTGGATGACTCAGAGGACGGATAACACGATACATCTTTCAGCTTGAGGTCATGGGTTCCAATCCATCCCAGGCTGGCATTAAGCCAAAATTACCATCTGCTAACTGATTAGTGGTCATTGTAAAATGAATTAGTGTCTCATGTGTGTAAGTAGACAGGTCAACATATTGGAATTGGTACCATCGCTGGCAACCTAAGCAGAGAAAGCAGTGGATGGATTGACTGGAGAGGGAGATTGAACTTTACTATGAACGTGACCCCTCCAGTGCAGCCTGAGGGTACATAAGCAGGGTAGCATGGAGAAGTTTGCCCATGTGCTGTCCTTGAAGTGTGGTACCTCATCATACATATATAGAGGACTCTGGTCTCCAGAGTTTGTCAGTTGAGCATTTTTTGTGAGCATTAAATTCTACTGATTTTTTTTTTCAAATGAATGAAATAATAACGAAGAAAAATGATTTTTTTATGGAAATATTAGCAAAGAGCCTCACACCAAAGTCCCTAGATCTAAGTAATCCCAAATTTAGTGAAGTTCAGATGCCAATTCAAAATTCAGCCCTTTGATCCAACAGTCAAATCCATCCCACCAATGGAATTTCAGCTGGATGCAGAAATCCACCAACACATCTCAGATTGCAGGATCAGGGAGCCTTTGAACGTGAGACCCTCCTCAGTATCTCAATGAGCAATTTAACCTTCAATCAAAAGGCTTCAATACCAGAGTCCCCTTCAAAACACCACTTCCTCTCAAAAGCACTGAAGTGTTTGTTTTCTTCTCCCACTTAGGAGGCTTTTCAATTGACTTTCATAGTCTAAGACCATTTGGAAGATTTGTATATTCAGGGCTTCAATTAACATAGCTAACAAAGTATTTAAAGTTAAAGGCCTTGATCCTGCAATTGCAGCATCACCAACTGTCATGATTTTATCATGAGTCTTGTGATAGTTCGTGTTTTTTGTTAAAGCCCCAGCTCCTGGAGTCAAGTGATGACATGAAAATCTCAACTTCCATTTAACAAAAAATAAGATTCTAACCTAAATAGTTGTGGAGAAAAGCTTGAAAACATGAGCTAAGTGCACCCTGAAGGCCCAGAAAGGAAAGAAAAACACCTCCATATTCATTATTTCCCCAACACATGATTTGTTGGGGGCCTGGCTCAGGATTCTGCAATCAGCTTCAGATGGGTGGATTCCTGCCCCGCGTACTGCCCACATTGCTCTCATGGGTAGGAGTGAAGATGCAGGGCCCTAAACAGTATAAAGATATCTTGGAGAGGAGAGGAGAGGTTTTATCTTAAAGCCAGTAGATGCCTGTTCATTATTTTGTATGCAAATAACCCCGAGAACGCTCTTCAGTTCTGTCTTCCAGAATTACTGCGTGGGGGAGGTTAAGAACTGAAGGGAGTCTTGGTGCTTGTGAAGTGTGATAGATTGACAGCTCTAGAGAATAAAGTTCTCTCTTGACATAATAGGCACAGCACAGGTAGTGACAGCGCAAGCTTTCCTCACCCACCCACCCACACCCCCTGCCTGCCTCAGGCTGGATCCAAGAGGGTGATTTTTTTCAACACGACAGGTTCCTGCTCTGACATCCCACCTCTGTTCCCACCACCACCACCACACAGTTTTTTTTACTACACCCACAACAACAAAACGTGCAGCATAGGCATTTTTAAAAGGCTTCTCAAACATTTAATGTTTATCCCAATGTGCGAGCTGAAGGGGAAAGAGGACAGAGAAGCAGGGGGAAGAGGGAAAGGACTTTATCCCTCTCTGTGGCTATGGCTAAAACCATATCTACAAGAGACTACGGTTCTCCCTGGTTCACATAGTTCCAAAGGCAAAAGACATAGCTGCTCTTCAGAATGCACCAAAATGAGTCATGTCAGGTATTATCAAACAAATTCCAAGAGAAGGATGCACTGAGAGCACCCTCCTCCCACCAAGGATGGCTAATTACTAATTTCAAATACTGTCACCAAGCCAATGAGACACTTGGATAGCTTGTTCCCCCATCCACCCACCCCATTTCCTATATTAATCCATAAAGAGAAAACCCTTTGACCTGATTCTAAACAATCCTTATGGGGGAAAACATATTTGTATGTTCCATATACAACTATTATTACTATAGATGTCTCCAACAAGATATTTAGATATTGCATCCCCCATACAGTTATGCAGATGATGATTCATAAGATCTACGGTTAGTTAGAAAAACCGTCTTATCCAGAGCCACAAGAGACAGAATGAGGCTTGAATTTCCCCCATATCAAGAGAAAGTATGACTCCACCTCCACTGCCAGTCTCTCAACTGTGCACTCTTGATGCTTTTAATGCTCACAAATACAATTACCAGGAATACAATTAAGAAAACAAAGTAGGCTGAGAAGTTGGCGTGTTTAAGAAGGTTCCATCTAGGTGAGATTTGAGAGAGAGAGAGATTTATATATATTTCAGTGCAAAACAAAATCAAAATACTGGTTGAGTTTTAACACAGCATTCAAGTAACTCTGCTAATATATTAACCTCCTACATGTGGGCTCGAGATGAGATCACATGCCCTGATGGCAGATTTGCAAGATGGAAGCACTTCTGCAATGGGATATGCAACCATGTTTTCAAAAAGCATTGCTGACGTTGTGTGCTCTGGGGGACTAAAGAAGGATGAGAAGAGTGGTGCCCAGTCCACTCAAAAATTAAGGGACATACCTGAACTTGTGGGCCATGGTCTTTTGGAAACTGGTAACATAAATGACTGGGGATAGAATTATGCAACATGGCAAGTTCTGATTAACAGAGCAGGGCACAGTGCCTACCTAACTCAGCCCATAGGGATCACAACTCTTTTTAAAAAGAGGGCACTTTATATTGACTGTTGTCAGTCAAATCTGGATGTTAAGCAACCCCACTAACAAGAGACTACATCCTATTCCCCTCTGAGTTTCTAACATCTTCGTGGTGCGAAGTCGCTAACAAGCACTGCTCCTCCCTTCCCTTACGGCATACCTAGGGCTGGGAGGCAAAGTAGGGGGGTACTCACCCACCTCACAGCCTCAGATACCCCCCCATCCGCTCAGCTGACAGAGGGCCTGGAGAGCAGCAATTGAAACTCTTCTAGCAGCAGGGGCCAGAGCACTAGACGGATCTGCTCCGGGGAATGCTAGCCTTGCGTACACAGGTCCCAGTCCGACAGTCCAAGCTCCCCAGTGCCTACAAAGAAAACTTTGGCAACAGCAGCGCCCCCCAGCGGAGAGGAGAGAGGCTCCCCCTGAGCTAGTGCAAAAAACAAAAAATCACAAAACAAAGCACGAGCAGCTGCTGTAATCTCAGAGTCACAAGTGATGCTGCTGCACAAGATCCTTCATGCAAACTAGCAAACCCCTCCCACCCCGCCCTCTGCTTATTCCACTGACCCTCCTTTGGAAAGTCTGTTCTCATCCAGGGAGTGTGGCTACAGTGCTCCTCCTGCTGCCTAGCCAGCCACACCCCAGCCTGCAGTAGGCACCCCGCCCTCCCCCGCGGAAAGCTTGTCCTCCATACACGCTTGATCTTGCCCTGACAAGGATCAGGGCAAAACCATTCGCCCACAATCCCATTATGTGGGCAGAACGCCATGGGAACCCCATCAAATCCCCCCCCCCCCCAAAGCTACAGATGTTTCACCGAAGTCCTTGTTTCCCCCACTCAGGAAAAGCCCTGCGTGTGGCAACCCGTCTGTGCTGCCGCTCCTGCCTAGGGTTGTGTCTGCTCGGCTCGCCTTGTCAAGTGAGGCGGCAGCCTGCTTCCAAGAATTCAGTAAGGCTGGCCGGCTGCTCCGTTTTCGCTGTTGATTCACCTTCCCTTTCCCATCCTACTGGGAGCATGAGCGATAAAGTGATGCCATTACACGACAAGCTCAATTTTCATTTAAAAAAAAACAAGCAAGTCTAGCCCGTTAGGTTACAACAAAGAAGCTTGAAAACAAGAGCTCAAAAAGGAGAAAGCAAATAAAAAGAACCCGAACTGTATTGTTGTTGTTTTCTTAATTTCCTGATTTTAAGCTAATCTCATGATGTGGGGCGGGGCAGACTCACCATTTTTGAACGTTTGGAGTGGGCCACGCTGCAGGAAAGGCACTAGCTCTGAGCACAAGCCAGCACAGAAACAAACAAACAGCAGTGGGGCAGTTAGAGGCTGGGGGTAGCGAAGAAAGGATGATCTAGTGGTTAGGGCACATGCCCAGGCATGGGGAGAGCTGGGGTGCAGTCTGTGCTCTGCCACAACCTTACTGTGTGACCTTGAGCAAGTCACTTAGCCTCTGTGTGCCTCTGTTCCCGGTAGATGAGGGACGGGCACGTTTCCCTGCCTCGCAGTGGTGCTGCGTCATTAAAGATTGTGATTGTGGTACTGGGGGCCACATAAGCACCAGAGATAGAGACCTGGTGTTCCCTGTTTCTGGCCTAAGTTTTCAGGCTGAATACTTTTAATTGGCAGTGCTCGAATCACCTGTGGATCTGGATTCCAAACAAGTGTGAAGTTTGAGGGTGTTCCAGTCTAAGGTTTGGCGACTTGTCCACCTTTATTGTTCTGTTTGATATCTGGATTTATAGGCTTTTTAACAGGTGAGATTCTGTAAAATTTGACATGCATAACCAGAAATTGTCCTGTGCCACTGTATAGTGTTGCTGTGTGGTGCTTAAGAGCTGTCATGTTTCTCCCCAGAAACAGCTAAACACCTCTGTAGCTCACTTACTTCCCTGTAAGAGTGCTGCAAAACTTAACCACTGTAATAATGAATAATGAATTAACACTTTACAAGTATACAACACCTTTCACCCACAAACATCATTACAAAAGTGGTCAGTCTCCCCAATTTCCAGAGGGAAAAACGGAGGCACAGAGAGAGTAAGTGACCTGCCCACGTTCACACAGTAGCAGAGCGTAGAATAGAACCCAGTAATATTGAATCTCACTTCTAGCCACTAGTCTATGCTGCCTCCACCTAAACCTGGTACATTCATGTTTGCAAAGCAGTTTATGGCTCTCAGTAAAGGGTTCTATGTAGGTGTTAAATATCAGAATTATAAACAAACTACAAGCGTTCCAAATGGCTTTGAAATCATGATTTTTCAGTTGACGTGAGTGTTTCTTCATTCTGCGGTCTGAATTTATAGGCGTTGTCTATGTTTGAGTGTTGTCATTTCAAAACACGGTGCATCAGTAAGCAATGTATGCAATGTCACCTTCATGCATACTGGGGTGGTGCAGGGAGAGTCCTGATTTTGAAAGAGTTTGCTCCTGTGAACAATTACTTTCAAAAGGAACTAATGTGCCTTCTGGAAGGAGTCGAATTGATTACTATTGCCCATGACAAACTTCAAAAAAGAGAGAGACATTTGAAGAGTCCTCCAGAGATGTCACCCAAGTACCCTGTTTTGAAAGATGCACGTGATGAAACGTTAACGTTAAGATGTGCCACCAAAAGAGCCAAGGTATTGCTCCCAAAATTTCAAGATTTCTAAGCCCTGGTCTACACTAGGACTTTAGGTCGAATTTAGCAGCGTTAAATCGATGTAAACCTGCACCCGTCCACACGATGAAGCCCTTTAGTTCGACTTAAAGGGGTCTTAAAATCTATTTCCGTACTCCACCCCTGACAAGTGGATTAGCACTTAAATCGGCCTTGCCGGGTCGAATTTGGGGTACTGTGGACACAATTCGACGGTATTGGCCTCCAGGAGCTATCCCAGAGTGCTCCATTGTGACCGCTCTGGACAGCACTCTCAACTCAGATGCACTGGCCAGGTAGACAGGAAAAGAACTGCAAACTTTTGAATCTCGTTTCCTGTTTGGCCAGCGTGGCAAGCTGCAGGTGACCATGCAGAGCTCATCAGCAGAAGTGACCATGATGGAGTCCCAGAATCGCAAAAGAGCTCCAGCATGGACTGAACGGGAGGTACGGGATCTGATCGCTGTATGGGGAGAGGAATCCGTGCTATCAGAACTCCACTCCAGTTTTCAAAATGCCAAAACCTTTGTCAAAATCTCCCAGGGCATGAAGGACAGAGGCCATAACAGGGATCCGAAGCAGTGCCGCGTGAAACTTAAGGAGCTGAGGCAAGCCTACCAGAAAACCAGAGGGGCGAACGGCCGTTCCGGGTCAGAGCCCCAAACATGCCGCTTCTATGATGAGCTGCATGCCATTTTAGGGGGTTCAGCCACCACTACCCCAGCTGTGTTGTTTGACTCCTTCAATGGAGATGGAGGCAACACGGAAGCAGGTTTTGGGGACGAAGAAGATGATGATGATGAGGTTGTAGATAGCTCACAGCAAGCAAGCGGAGAAACCGGTTTTCCCAACAGCCAGGAACTGTTTCTCACCCTGGACCTGAAGCCAGTACCCCCCGAACCCACCCAAGGCTGCCTCCTGGACCCGGCAGGCGGAGAAGGGACCTCCGGTGAGTGTACCTTTTAAAATAGTATACATGGTTTAAAAGCAAGCATGTGAAAGGATTAATTTGCCCTGGCATTTGCGGCTCTCCTGGATGTACTCCCAAAGCCTTTGCAAAAGGTTTCTGGGGAGGGCAGCCTTATTGCGTCCTTCATGGTAGGACACTTTACCACTCCAGGCCAGTAACACATACTCGGGAATCATTGTACAACAAAGCATTGAAGTGTATGTTTGCTGGCATTCAAACAACATCCGTTCTTTAGCTCTCTGTGTTATTCTCAGGAGAGTGAGATATCATTCATGGTCTCCTGGTTGAAATAGGGTGCTTTTCTTCAGGGGACATTCAGAGGAGCCCGTTCCTGCTGAGCTGTTTGCCTGCGGCTGAACAGAAATGTTCCCTGCTGTTAGCCACGGGGAGGGGAGAGGGTTGAGGGGGTAGCCACAAGGTGCGGGGAGGCAAAATGCGACCTTGTAACGAAAGCACATGTGCTATGTATGTAATGTTAACAGCAAGGTTTACCCTGAAAGAGTGTAGCCACTGTTTTATAAAATGTGTCTTTTTAAATACTGCTGTCCCTTTTTTTTTCTCCACCAGCTGCATGTGTTTCAATGATCACAGGATCTTCTCCTTCCCAGAGGCTAGTGAAGCTTAGAAAGAAAAAAAAAACTCAAGATGAAATGTTCTCCGAGCTCATGCTGTCCTCCCACACTGACAGAGCACAGACGAATGCGTGGAGGCAAATAATGTCAGAGTGCAGGAAAGCACAAAATGACCGGGAGGAGAGGTGGCGGCCTGAAGAGAGTAAGTGGCGGGCTGAAGAGAGTAAGTGGTAGGCTGAAGACAGGGCTGAAGCTCAAATGTGATCCACCAGAGCTTGTAGCACTATTGAAAAGTACCCCTTGCGGTTTATGTACTCGCCGGCTTGGTGCTCCGGTGCCAAGATAGGGATATGGGTTCCGTCTATGGCCCCACCACAGTTAGGGAATCCCATTGCAGCAAAGCCATCCACTATGACCTGCACATTTCCCAGGGTCACTACCCTTGATATCAGCAGATCTTTGATTGCGTGGGCTACTTGCATCACAGCAGCCCCAACAGTAGATTTGCCCACTCCAAATTGATTCCCAACTGACCGGTAGCTGTCTGGCGTTGCAAGCTTCCACAGGGCTATCGCCACTCGCTTCTCAACTGTGAGGGCTGCTCTCATCTTGGTATTCATGCACTTCAGGGCAGGGGAAAGCAAGTCACAAAGTTCCATGAAAGTGCCCTTATGCATGCGAAAGTTTCGCAGCCACTGGGAATCGTCCCAGACCTGCAACACTATGCAGTCCCACCAGTCTGTGCTTGTTTCCCGAGCCCAGAATCGGCGTTCCACAGCATGAACCTGCCCCATTAGCACCATGATGCATGCATTGGCAGGGCCCGTGCTTTCAGAGAAATCTGTGTCCATGTCCTGATCACTCACATGACCGCGCTGACGTCGCCTCCTCGCCCGGTATCGCTTTGCCAGGTTCTGGTGCTGCATATACTGCTGGATAATGCGTGTGGTGTTTAATGTGCTCCTAATTGCCAAAGTGAGCTGAGCGGCCTCCATGCTTGCCTTGGTATAGTGTCCGCACAGAAAAAAGGCGCGGAACGATTGTCTGCCGTTGCTCTGACGCCGGGAGGGGCGACTGACGACACGGCTTACAGGGTTGGCTTCAGGGAGCTAAAATCAACAAAGGGGTGGCTTTACATCAAGGAGTATTTCAGGCAGGACTTCACGGAGGGTTCCAATAAGAAATGGTGCACCTAAGTTATTGTTCTTATTGGAACAAGGAGGTTAGTCTGGCCTCTGATTGATACATGGCTAGATTTACCTTGCTGCACCTCCTCTGTGAGTGACTGCAGTGTGACCTAGAGGAATGAGTCCCCTAGACGGAGGCG